TAACCCTCAATTGCCAAAAGCTGTAGCTGTGAAAACATTAAAAGGTTGGTTAATTAATTTTTTACACATTGCATTTATATTAAAACTGCTTTATTGTAAGACTTATATCTTTTATAAGTGTATAGTAGTCACTCAATGAAACTTAACATTTAAAATTAACAGTCTATTTATTTTTAGTTTTTTTCAATTACTATTCAAATGCAACTTATACAAGTGAATGTGTGTATGACTGTATGCATTATAAATTTCAGACTTGAGTAAATTGCTTCAATTTTGATCAGAATCATCTCAAACTAGACATACAATGTCAAAATATGCATAAATATTAATCAAATTACAAAAATTAAAAAAATTTTCCTAGCTATTTGCAACTTGAAATTAGGCCCGAAACAATGTACTTAGTACTTAATCTCAGGCCAAATTTTTGAAAAATTCATAAAAAATCTAATTTTGATTAGAATCAATTCAAACTAGATAGGTTGTAACATTAGAAAATGTTTGTGTATCAGAAAAAATATATAAGTAAGAAGTTTTTTCTAGCTATTTTTCATAAATTTTGACCCTTGTGCTTAGAAAATTTAATTTAAAAAAAATTCAGTTGTGATTAGAATTACCACAAACTAGAAACAAGCATGTGCATCAGAAAATATTATGAAGGTAGATAATTTTCTCCTAGCCACTTTTGACAAAATTTAAAAGTTTGTAAAAAATCTAATTTTGATCAGACTCATCTCAAACTAGATACCGCATATACAACATTAAAGAATTTCATGTGTAGCAGAAATTTAAAAATTTATGAAAGTAGATAATTTTGTCCTAACAGTTTGTGGCAAAATGTAGCCAGGGACTGTGTACATGGTACATGGTCATGGCCATGGTCTGGTCTTTTTACATGGCCAAAGGCCAGATTTTTGAGAAAATTAAAAATTTTTTAATAAATCCAATTTTGATCAGAATCAACTCAAACTAAATATACAACATCAAAGTGTCAAAAAATTATAAAAATTGGGATGTCTTTTTATCCATTTTTACAAAATACCATGGATCAGGTTTTTTACAAAGCTCTACTTAGTCTAGCAAGATAAAAACAGCACACCTCATGAGCTGGCTAAAAGATGAGCACTATATTGGTAAACCCTGATTGTCACACTTCCATTTACTTATGTACAGTGTGTGTGTGCATATAATCATAATTATAATGTTACTGAGGTAGATTGAGAGCATTTCGTATTACATTTTCTGATGCATATTGATGTTACTATGCTATGTAGCAAGTTTGAGTTGATTCCGACAAATATTTTTCAAGTTGCGGCCATTTTAAGAAAATGCCAAAGTTCTGAAAAATGACTATGATTTTTTTTTAATAATGGCTCCGATATCCCCCCAAATTTTAATTATATTTTCTGATACATATTGATGTCCTTATGCTATGTAGCAAGTTTGAGCTGATTCCGACAAATATTTTTTGGAGTTACGGCCATTTTAAGAAAACGCCGAAATTCCAAAAATTACTCAAGGCTATAGCCCATGGTTTTTTCCAAAAAATGACTCCAAATTGCCCCAAGTTTTTATTACATTTCCCGATACATGTTGATGCCCTTATGCTGTGTAGCAAGTTTGAGGTAATTCTGACAAATATTTTTCGAGATATGGTCAATTTAAGAAAATGCCGAAATTCCGAAAAATACCCAAGGCTATAGCCTTGGGTATTTTTTGGAATTTTGATGGTTTTTTTCAAAAAATGACTCCAAAATTGCCCCAAATTTTTATTACACTTTCTGGTACATATTGATGCCCTTATGCTGTGTAGCAAGTTTGAGCTGAT